TAAAAAAAAAAAAAAAAAAAGACTGAGCAGAAGAAGAGGTAGGACCCCAGACCAGCAAGAAGGTTAGCCTCAGTAGGAGTTAAACATCAACCTCAGACCTGCCACTTTCATTCTAAAAGGAACTGTAAAGGACTAGGACTGTGGCGGGATTTCCATGGAGGAAGGGGTGCCTGCGGTGTTCTACAAGGAGCGTCAGAAGAGGTAATGCTTACTCCTCTGAGTCCTGAGGGTGACGAGGTTCCAATGGGCCAGGCAGAACAGTCACGGCCTGGGTCAGACATACATGACTTCACCAGCAAGGCCGATGAGATGACCGTAAGATTTAGGCCAGGGGGGAAAAAAAACATTTCTAAAAGTAAGTTGGGGCCAGGTAGCCAGAAGACAGGTCATTTATTAAAGGTGCTGGACCCTGGCATTAAAGAAACGGGGAATCCGGTGGTGAGACACACACTCCGAGAGATTACCCAGCCGGTGCAGTGCTAGGAGCTGCTGGCTTCCTTCTCTACACAGCCACGGGACCACAAGGTACAGCTTTGCACGAAAGGTGGTCCCCAAGGGTTCTGGCCATGTCCCAGGAGGTTTTCATAGTTTCAAAACTTAAATAAGAAGACATTTAGAAAAATAAATTTGGTTCAAGAGAAAATGAGTTGGCTTCAGTCTCTCCTAACCCAGTTTAAAGCCATGAGCTGCTCTTCCCTTGCTTGGGGCTTTCTGCCTTTCCTTTCCAGGGCCTCCATTTAAAAGGTAAATAAATACATCCAGGATCTTTTTTTCCTCATATCACTCTCCCCTAGGGGGCTCGAATGTCTTAAGGCTTCAAAGCACAGGGAGCGGCTCTCTAGTCTGGGGCCCTGAAGGGAGAGTGAGAAAGGACAGGCGGGAAAGGTGTCCCTGGCTTACCCTGGAGAGGCCCACACTCGAGGATTGTGCTATTTGTAAAGGCAGCCACTAGCCACATGAGACTGGTTCATTTAAGTTAATAAAAATTTTTTAAAATGTCAATGTTTGTTAGTAGAATTTTAAATTCCGTTCCCCAGGCACACTCAAGCGGAATCGTCACTCGAGGCTGGTGGCTACCATATTCGACAGTGCAGATTGGGGGCACTTTCATCTTCGCAGAAAGTTCTATTGCCCAAGGCAGAGTCTAATCTAGAAGCTGGCACAGGAATCACCAGGGAGCTGGTTAGAAATGCAGCATCTCAGGCTTGCCAGGATCCACATTTTTAATTGATCCATATAATATTTGCATATCTTTATCTGTGATCCCTGTGGATGTCAAAGTTTGAGGGGCCCCGGTGTGAGGATACAGGACCAGCTTGGCTTTGCCATAGAGCACGCCCTCCTGCCCAGAACGCGGGGATGCATGTTAAGATGGCCATACAGCCAGCTGGCCTCCGGAGTACCTGGTAAAGCCCCACTGGGGCAAACAGGAGCTCTTCCCCCCGCTGGCTCCTGACAGAGGAGTAGAGGTCTGAGGAACCCATCCCGCTGGACACATCGCTGCGGTCCCCTCTGGACATGAGTGTGCCCCTCTGCGACGGCTGCAGGCAAAGCATGACTTTGTTGTCCTCGGCAGCATGGCCAGGTGCAGAGGGGACTGCGTGCTTTATGGATTGGGAGGTGGGCGCCCAGTTCACACGTTTCATACTCTATTGTCAGTACACATGTGCAAAACACAATGATTCCATTCCTTGTGGGGGGATCAGTACGTGTACCTAACACATCTTAATTCTTTTTTTTTACTTCCCTCCCCTCTCCTTCATCTCTTGATACCCTCCCCGTATGAGAAAGAACTATTTACTTCCTATTACACATCATTTATTTTGTTCTTTTCTTGTATTTTACATTTCTCGTAGAAGAGAAACCATGTGATACTTCAGCTGTGTGTCCAATTTATTTCACTTAACATTACGGTCTCAAGGAGGATCCATTTGCCTACAAAGGACTCAGTTTTATCCTTCTGAGGTCGGTCTTCCCTGATTCAAGTTCCAGATGTGGGGTCAGAATCATTTTGCTAAATAAACTCTCATTAGCTCTATATCAAATACCTCCAGCACCTCTTCAATATCTGGAAAACATCTTCAAAGCACAGGAACCCTGTATTTTAAGCAGTCTGTTTCCTGGAACCCAATGTACAAAGATCAGAATAGAGCTGTCTGTGGTTGAAGAGGGAAGTGGGAGGCTATAAATTCCCCATGGACACTTGGAAGTGAGTGATTAATGAACCCCAATCTCTTGGTCTTTGTGCAGCGACTTGGAAGTAGCCAAGCCTTCAGCCCCCACAGCCTGGGATATCCTAGTGACTTCTCCCTAAGTCACATCTTCTCTGATACCCTCACGATGCTGACTGCTTTAGTCCCTCTGTCTGCAGGGCTCCCTGTCTCACTGTGGAGACTCTATGGGGTGTCCCCGAGCCTTGCACTGTGCTTTTCCCACAGTCGATGGTCATCACGTGTTTGTTGTGCAAATGAACCTTGGCGTAGCAATCATCAGATTAAAGGAATTAGTGTCATTTTTTTGGTTGTTTCTTTGAAACAAAGTCTTGCTATATAGTTCAAGCTAGCCTTGAACTCACTACAAAGTCCAGCCTGACCTTGAATTCACAGTAATCCTTATGCCTCAGCCTCCTGAGGGCTAGGACCACCGGCTTGGAACACCACACCCAGCTGGAGTTAATGCCATTTTTCTTTTAAACCAATTGCTTCCTAGGAAAAGCCGTTATACTTGAGCAGGCTATGTGACGCTTAACACCCGCAGAATAACAGGGTTGGCAAGAACTTTAAAGACTATCAATCCTTTTTAAATAGTTCAAAATGGAATCTCTGGGAGGCAAAGTGATATTCTCAAGACATTCAGCCAGTAAGTGGGAGCCCAAGACCAGGACGCAGGTCTCTGAACTTTTCACTAAGTACTCTCTTTACACTGGCGTCAGCCTCTTGCGCTCTACGAGGTCCCTCCCAGAAGCCGTCAGCAGGGGCAAGGGCAGGAGACGTCCTGTGCGGCCTCACCTTGTTCTGGGGCAGGATAGTGATGTCCTCATAGCTGATTTGCCACCAGGTGCCTTCATTTTGACTCTGTCGTTTTCCCTGCTGCAGCTTTACAGCCAGACCTACAGTGGCCGCTCCCAAGCCGATAACCAGGAGCACCATGGTAAGAATCACAACAGACACACCTGGGCGGTAGAGACAGTCCTCGCTCGGGCCTGCCCAAGAGCAGGAAATGCGCAGTGCGCAGGTGTGGTCCGCCTAGGGCGCCTCTCCCCGGAACCTCTCCCCAAGTTCCCCTCCAGTCCCCACCGTGCCTCACCACACCCCCACACGTATAGGAACGTCTTCCCCAGTAAGGCAATGGTAACGATGACTTCTAACCACTCCTGCTTTTGTAACTCCCTTCCTATGTGCTCTCTGTGCGCTCTCCGACCTGAATGGCTGGTCATCTCCTTCCAAGGCTTGGCCCCTAACCGAGCAACGCTCTCCTCCACAGTTTTTCTATCTCTCTAGAAAGAAGGTCCTCCGACTCGAATCTCAGGAGCCAGGTTTCCCTACCACAGAGTTTCTGACCTGGGAAGGAGGGCCACGCTGCCCGCTCGGGGATATCTGCCAGTGCCTGGAAACATTTTTGAAAACAACCACTGCAGGGTTGCTCCTGGCATCAGCTAGGCTGAGAATTCGGCTCAACATCCTACAGGGCGCAAGGCAGCCCCGCACTGTCCCGTGGGGCGCCACGCCCTCCCTGCTGCCTTCTCCCAGGGGCCGTGCTTACGTGTGAAAGTAGGCTCCGTGGAGCAGAGCGTACTGTGAAATCCACAGCCAGGTGTGAGTCCGTTTTCAGGGAGGAAGCCACGGGGCCAAGTAATATTGGAGGAATTCCTCAAGGGTCTGTGAAGAAGAAGACAAAGGTCAAGAACACCTGCATTGATTCCACTGCTCTCTACTCACCTGTAACAGGAGAAATTGAAACATGCATGGTACCTACAGGGCTCTGCTGCCTGGCCCACAGTTCCCACCTTCTCTAGAATCTCCCGGTCAACCTCTGCTAATCTAATTCATGGAAGTCAACATCTTTCTGCAGAGTGAAAGAGCTGCTTCACGTTTGGGATTTAAACCATGTTCTTTTGATTTAAAAAACAATGTGACAGTCTGGGTGTCGTGGCACATGCCTGTAAACCCAGCCTTTAGGAAGCTGAGGCAGGAGGATTGCCGTAAATTCGAGGCCAGCCTGAACTACATAGCGAGATCCTGCCTCTAAAAGATAAAAGTGGCAATTCTCTATTATTGTGGGCTTTACAAACGTGTTTGACGTAGAGGAATCTTATCGTGTAGCCCTTAACATTGCACAGACCAAAACATCTTCCCTACATGGAATATGCCCGTCCCTACAACAAGAGGGCCTGGTTCACAGCAGATGCTCTGACGCTGGGCCTGCCCATTTCCTGAGAGAAAGGAAGAAACAGTCTCAGGTGGACTTGTGGGGGTGGTAGCAGTAGAAGCAAATACGAGTTTAATTAAGTGTTAAGTTTATTTTTCATTTTCTCATTGACTTACAGCTGAGAGCAATGCCAGAGATTTCTCCCAGGGATTCCTGGGTACTTGGAACCCAGGAATGCCCTGAGTGCTGCACTACATGCATCTCTGCTGAGGAGTCGGGCCGTGTCCTGCTGACCGTGGACCCATTCCCATAGGGGCGCTGTGCCCCATCACCCCCTGAGGCCAGGGCCTCTGCTGGAGAGCACCAGCCTACAGGGAACTATTTCACCCCAGACAGCTGGAGGCCCAGCCCCTATGCAGGGGTAGTTAGGGGCACTGAGTTCTGCTCTGGAATTTGAAATGGCCACAATCTAGGGCAAAATCACCTTAAAACCCCAAAGTCCACTTTTATGAGTTCAGGGAGTAGCAGCTATTGGTGGGGCATTCTAGGCTTGGATCCCAAACTGATCTCCCAGCAGGATCCCTGGTCCTCTTCCTATAGGATGATCTAAACTTGCAGATGTGCCCTGCCATACCTGATTACTTTCTCGGAGCTGTAATAATGAAGAAAAGGAAGAAAAAAGGACCCATTTCCAGATTTCTGTAGGGCATAGACAGAGTAATCCATGTGCCTTTCTCCCTGGGAGTCCACAAGCACAGGGCCAGTTATTCCTGCAAAGAGAAGATTCAGAAGGGGCGGGAGGAAGGGAAGAAGCAGAGAGAGGGGGAGAGAAGGAGAGAGACCGAGACAGAGCCAGAGAGACAGAAAGAGACAGAGGCTGGCTCTCGGCTAGAAATGACATTCTGCCCTTTCCCATCAAATGCTAGGTGAGAGGCTTCTGCCATCTCAAGGTGCCTGGGCTGAGGTCAACAGGCACAATTCAGGGAGGAAGACGGTTCAGCAGTGGCCTTCAGTTGAGCTTAAGGGCCGCACTGGGAGACAGATATATTTTGCTAGCCCTGTGCTGGCAAGGTCCATCCATCACCCCAAAACAAAACAAAACAAACAAGGTTAAGCAGTCTGTAGTTGATTTTACTCAAAACCTCAGATTCATGTTTCCCACAACAATAAGAAGTGACCGTAAGGGGCCCAATGGCCGCAGGGCAGCAACTGCTTGACAGCTGCCTCCTCCAGGCCCTGTCACCCTCCTGGTTCCTCCCCTCTGGGTGTCAGGCCCAGGGATACATTTTCAGGCTGTGCTTTTCCCTCAGACTTGGTTATGCATGGAGGCTTGGGCAGGGCGCTCTGTCCCCAGCCAGTTTGCTCCTCGTTCCTGCTTTCAACCCCACTCACTGACTCTAGAAAGGCCTAATTGCTCGCATTGTCCCTGCAGGGTGAGGACACCAAAGCACCACTTCTGAAGCACCTACAGTGTGCCCAGCATCGTGCTTATAGCCATCTCAGGTCTAGTTCCAGTGGGCGCTGTGGAGGAGACACCATCACCCACTCTGGCCAAGGGAGCACTAGAGAAACAGTGCCTGAGAGCCTCTGAGAGCCAGGCAAGGCTGAGGGAGCTCATCTCAGGCACCCTGGACTTTCCAGCTGCCCCAGCTCCCGCCCACACACCATCACAGAGGCAGGCCCTTAGCTTTATCTGTGATGGCTACAGCTAGGAGTCAGCGGTGGGAGAGACTTCGCAGGGAAGGGGTAAGGTGGCCAGAGGCCGCCTCCAAGGGGCAGGGTAGGATGAGTGAGCCAGGGCAGCTGGGGGATTTTAACCTCAATCACACTTACAAAAGCCTGGGACCTGCATGAGAAAAGTGAGCTCTGTACTGGTGTGGGGAACATGCCACAGGAGCCCTGTAATCACCCACCCAGCATCTCAAAGGCCACAGTGACTGGGGCAGCAGCTGAGGGCCGAACTGCTCCCCCACAGCAAACCACTCACCCCACAGTGGGGTCGGGCTGGCTCTCAGGGTGCTGAGCAGCTGCCGCCCATCTCGAAAGTCTCTCCCTGCCTTTGTCATCTCTTCCACGGTCTGGGCGTAGAGCAGAAAGGCATCATGCAGGTAGGCGGCGAAGGGGCTCACCTTGGACAAGAGGAGCAAGGGTGGGGACAGGCCCAGGCCTCCAACCCTTGACTAGGAGTCCCTCCATGCTGTGAGCGGTGGAGCTGTGAGCTGGCCCACGTTCTTCTCCCAGAACCACAGGGAGGGGAGACCACCCCTAAGGCTAGCTGTCCCAGTCTCCACCCCTCCTCCCATGCCTCAGTTTCCCAATTAGATCTCATGATGTGTCAGCTCAGGGATGGCTCTGTAAGCCATGGTCAGAAGAAAGTATGGTTAAGTGAAAGAGAGAGTGAGTCTGGAGCCAGGCCAGCTCTGCCACTTACTGGCTACGTATGACACCAGCTCACATTCTGTGACCTCTCTGATTATAAAATGGGATAAAACCACTCCTGTGACACATGAGGATAGCTAAGGGAGGCATCTAGGTAAACTACCCAATGCAGTGACATGATCCATAGTAGGACTTCAGTACACATTCTTCTGTTGGTTTGGGCAATTAAATTACAAGTACCTACCAAGTGCTAGCACCGTTCTCCCACAGCAGTTGGAGCACAGCTCCACTGCTCCTCACATAGTCACTGACTGGTCACCTCGTCTTGTATGTTAGGATCACAGTCAGCCCCTCATTCCCAATCAAGCCCAATGCTCAGCTGGACCCTGCATTCAAAGTAGCTCCGACTCTGGCCACCATTCACTCTGAAGAATCCTCTATGGGAGCTGCTTTACTTTATCAAACTTGCTCAGATTCCCATTGGTTGGCATGCTCTCCTGACCGTCTCCTCACAACCCAGCTCCTCTTCTGGCCTTGATTGTCCTAGCCCCATGTCTTGGCTCCACCCTAGCTCTCTGTTCAAGCATCCTCTGTTACAAGGGCAACATACATGATCCGAGTATCCATTGGTATCTGTTTGGCTATTTCCACATGGTATGTTACTAAATACTCAGGACCACAGCCGGAGGGGTGGATGCCATTAGCAGTCCCATTTTACAGATGAAGAGACAGAGGTAAAGAGAGGTAATGTGATTCCCTCCAAAGCCCCACAGTTAGTTAATAGCAGAAGTAGGATGAGAGCCCAGGGATCTGACCCCCAAAGTCAGTGGCCTGTGGTCCCATAACCTCTGTTCCCCTCTTGGGCTGTGGGGTGTAGATTTCACAGGAAAGCATCAAACCAATGTTTATTTTGGGCCTTGGAAGATGAGGAAGTGTGTGTGTGTGTGTGTGTGTGTGTTGGCGGGGGGAGAGGGACAATGAGAAATGCAAAAGCCAAATATAAATATGGTCAAGAAATGGAAGGCAGGGCCCCATATGGAACCCTCCATCAGACCTGCCCCTCTGAGGCTATGGAGCTGTGGAAGGGGGGCCCCCTCAGCCTTTGGTACACTTGTTTCCAGAAGCCGTCCTCTTCTGGGCCTTCCGCATAGGAGCTGGGGGCGATGAGAAACACCGACTCGTAGACAGTTGGCAAGTGTGTCACTTTCTGATTTGTCAACAGCTCCCTCCTGAAACTGTCCTAGACAACAAGGAGACAAAGGTCACCACTCTGTAGGAAGGGGGAGCTGCAATCGAGGCAATGCCGAACCCGAATTGTTCGCTGCACACTAGTCCTCGGAAACACAGCGTTTCCAGAAGGCCTGCATTACGGGGTGCATTTGCTCCAGCCAGCATATAAGCAGTGGGAAGGAAGCCAAAAATGAAATAAAAAATAAAAACATACCTGGGGCACCAAGC